ACTCAGATGTCCACCTAGATGTCTAAGATGAAAATGCCACTGCCAAGGCCAACTTCTTTACTCTTTCACTGCAGTGAAACCAGGCAGAGATTTGGGAGTTATCTGGGATTCCTCCTTCTACATCATCCCCTGACATCATACAAGTCACATATAAATGCTTACCTAAAGTCACCTGAACCTATACTTCTCTCTCCACCCCCATTATTCCCTCTCCAATGCATAACTAGAAATGGCATCACAGTGCCTAAGCCATCTTCTTAGTTGCATCCTGGGATTGTTTAAAACCCTTTACCACCTCTCTGTTGCTTCCACCATAAGTCTGTGGAGAGATCCAAGCCAGACGGATGGGGGCACCAGGAGCCTGACTCCGAGCGCCCCATTCCAGCTCGCTCCCTAGTTCACCATGCACTTAGAGACTGGTACTACTTTCCACAGGATGCCATGAATGGAAGGCATTAGAATAGCAGTAGAAGCTGATACACATTTCTTCAGGCAGCACAGAAGGCTTTCCAAGATCTGGCTTCTGCAGCAATGTAATTTGAAGCAATACTGGACCGTTTATAGTTCCTCAAACCCAACAGCCTTTGCTCCCAGTAGGTAGCTCTTTCCCGGACCATCTCACACCCCCATGTAACACCCATCCCCATTATTCACTAGAGGAAAATCTACTTATAAGCTTATTCTGATATTACAGTCTCTGAGATCTTTCTGACTTCTGACTGTATCATCCTTAACCTGAACACCAAATACCCTCACAGATCTAAACACACCACCTGCACACAGTAGGTTGTTATTCACAGCACATTTTGCTGGAATTGTATTGTGTTACATTATTGTTTGATAAATAAAATGCAATATGCCTGTATATATTTTAATTTGAATCTTATTAAATTATAAACATTTGTCCATTTTAACCTAAAAAGACCAGTTTCATAGAATTAAATATAATATATATGCATATATTATATGTGTAATTTACCTGCATGTGCTGATCTATCACATACATAACTTAGCTTTTATTTGCTATATGCACTGTTTGTTTGCTGTACAAAAATTATAAAGAAAAAGGTGGAAAGCAACAAACATGATTATCTAAACATCAAATTAAATTTTATGAAATGAAGGAAGTTTCACTATTATCATCAGTCTGTATGAGTCACAGTAGGAAAAATAATTGATGGGCTGATAAAGGCCCACTTTACTGCCTTTGAAGGAACCACACCCTACCTTCTTTCATGGACCATTAATATCAAGACATAAAAGTTGCCATTCTGGATGGATGCCGTCAAGTATCATATGACAGGTATATTTTATTTATCTTTAACTCATAATTCTCTCTCACATGTATAAGTCTCATTACTGAAAGACTGAAAAAAAATGCCAGGGACCATTAAACCTTAAACATCACTGGCTATATGATATCTAATTCTTCAATGTTTACTAAGACCACTTGAAGTTTAATCTTTAATCCCACTTATATTACATATTAAGAAAAACTTAGCTGTAATCCAGATCCTATTCCTTATAAAGTCAGTCTGTAAAATAATCAGATTGATGTGTAGCAGTCACCCAGGAAAGACCATGTGACAGCTGTAGTCACACCTTACTTGCTTAACTCATTCAATGTTATGCTTAACGCCCACAGGAGGTCACAGCTGCTAGGAGTTGTTTGCTGAGAAGCTGCAGACAAAGCACAATTAGGTATTCCCACCTAACCCCATCTGTGTGGGCCTGAAATGGAGGTGAGAAGCCTTTAGTACCCTACTCTCCTGTGTGGCCATTTTCTAAGGCAAATATCTAAGGTCTCCATTGTCCCTGAGTTGTACCCTCCTACACATACAGAATGGCTGCTCATAAAGAGCAATTAGAGCTGCCCATCCTTTCTAATAGAGGAGATCTTATGCACAAAATATAGCAGTTCATCCACATTAGATCCCAGTGGACTAAATTCTACAGCTAGAGAAATGAAACACCTCCACACTTTTCAGAGTCTGGAAATGCTATGCTTCAGTTGTCTCAGCCTCACCCTAGTCTCCTTTCCACCCACTAGCCACTGGTCAGTAAGACTTTCTCATCACCTAGACATAGGATTTCATTTTCACCCTTTATACCCTTAGACTTGAGGTTCCAGAACTTTCCTTTCTTCTCACATTATTCTTATCTTGATCCAAAATTCAAACACCAGTTTCCCTGGTGTCTTTCTTTTTCCTGTAGACACACATTTCCCACTGGAGTACTTAACCAACCAACAATTCACTCGGTCATCTTTGAAGAGGAGGAAAGACAGCAGCTTCTCCTCATGGCCTTGTGTTTGTTGTTTGTTTCAGTTCTACTTTCTTATAAATGACTAACTGATAATGCCTTCTAGGGACATTTAAACTTTGAAAGATCATAAAGGAAAGCCCCTTCTCTGCTCTCCACCATTTCCCATCTGCCCATCAACCCTATATCCCAGAGCCCCTAACTTCCCTTGCTGTCCTCATCTGCTTTTCTCTCCACCACTGGATTTGATTGAGCCAATTCACCACATCCTAGCTTCAGAAGAATGGGACAGCAAGGGACTCTGGGTCTTCCTTCAAACCACCTGCCACATACACATGACTTTCTTTTCATGGAATTCACAAAAACATGTGGCAAGCAGACTCAAGAAGCTGCTGGCACCTCTTATTGAAGTCTGTTAGAAAGAGCCAAAGAAATGGCCAAAGAAGCAATCATGCATACTGATGGAAGAGGAACCTCAAATTTTAAGACCATTTCCTATTTCTTTGTTTAATTTGTTTAATTTATGGGTTGATTCATTTTTTCCCTAGTAATTTGTGTACTGCCCAGAAACCTGAAGGACATGTAAAAATATTGATAGAATTTTTCTTGAATAAAAATCTGCTGTATTTGTCTGAGCAAACTTGAACCTGAAAAAGTGCAGATTCAATTTGAATTCCAAAGAGGTGCATTTCCCCATCTATACACTGAAAGACCTGGAATTTCATTTTGTGGAAGCCCATGCATTTGTCAAATTAAACTTGAGAAAAAAAAAGAGTGTCTATCCTTGAAAAGCTTATGTTAACAGAAGCACCAGAATAGAACCATTAGATAACTTAGAAAAATTAATCCCTTACCTTTAAATGGCACTCAAAAAAGTAAACTGTTCTAAGAGATGAACACTTGGTTTCTTTTTCATTACAGATGAAATATCATAATTAGATCAAGTTGGTTTGCTTCTGTTATTAAGAGCAGCAAAGTAAAATGAATCTTTTACTTTCAAAGTGTTCTGTCTTTTTAAAAATAAGCCTTCCAGTGACTAAAGAGTTATACAAGTAAATGTAATCTTAGGCTGGATCCTGTATTGAAGGAAAAGCTGTTAAAAGGGATATTATTCAGTCAATTAACAAAACTGGAATATGGACAGCAGATTAGATACAAGTATTATCTTGATGTTAGAGTTACCAAAGCTGATTAAGTGTGTTGTGGTTATTTAAGAGAATAATTATCCTTGTTCTTAGGAAATATACACTGAAGTATTTAAGGAATGACAGACCATGATGTATGCAACTTACTTACAAATTTCAGAAAAAAATATAATGTGTATAAGTGTTTATGTATAGAAAGAGAACAAATGATAAAGCAAATGGAATAATATGTTCACAGTAGGCGAATCTGGATATTCGTTGTTTTTTGTAATATACTCCTATTGCACTTTTCCTATAAACTTGAAATTATTTCAAATAAAAAGCTTAAAAAATATATGCCTTATGGTTTGAAATTATTTTTGATGGAGAGTTGGAAAGTAGAGCGACAAAAGAGAAAAATAAGTAAAAATATTAATCTCCTGGAAAATAATTCTCTGCAAGATGGGAAGATGGTGGTTTGACCCCATCTTCAGAGACAGTTCGGTGTCATAAATGTTCTTTTTATTTATATCCACCAGATTCATTCTTATCTCTCCAGTCCTCCTCATCAGCAAATAGCCTTCAAAAGCATTTGGATTGGCTTAAAATATCTACAAACAAAATGCATGGAAGTGAGAGTCTTGGGGCAAATGGTGCATAGCATCCTCATGGCACTGAACCCTCCCTTCTTGCTGCTGATGAGATGTCCACTAAATCAGGGGAACACAGTTCTACGTTAACCCCCTAGAGGGAGTTCCTTAAGATAGAAGTTCAATGTTACAGAGCTCAAAAAGCCTTTGAAACAGATGGCTATATTCCAGACCAAGTCATTAAACAATGTTTCCTAAAAATAATGGTGATGATGATAAGTATCATTTTATTCTAAGAATTTTAAATAGATAAATTCATTAAATCATCAGAACCTTGAGAGAGGTATTATGATTATTTCCAATATACAAATGAAGACACCAAAGCCCAGAGGACTAAGTAACTTGCCCAGGGTCACACAGCTGGTAAGTTGCAAATTTGGACCCAGGTGGTTTGACTCCAAAGCCCACATTCTTAATGACCACACTAGACTTCTCAACAACACCCTCCTAAGACTGAGACATCAGTCATTATCTGTTGGTCAGTTAAAACAGCTCTAATTATTCTAATTGACTAATTGGGATATCACTATACATGCCACACTATTTTTGTTTAAAATCCCATTACCTAAGCTTCATAAAGCAAACATCTATTGAAAAGTCAAATTTATTCTTTGGCCATTATTAAGTCTAGAGCCAATTTCACTGTGTGTTCTTTTCAGTGAGTGAGATTAGCACTCCTGAATAAACTAGAAAGATTAAATAATTTACAGCTTCTCCATGAACTCTTCCACATTTTCTCAGAACCCAAATGATCTCCACCCTCTAAACCCATTGTGAATCATTAGGTGGCACTCAGCTTCAGTAACAACAGGAAATGTTCCTTGCACATAATCCCTAAGTAACTTGATCTGAGACCTGTTTTGTCAGCTTGGCTAGGACTTCACATGGCTTCTCATCAAGTATCTTCCCCGTCTCGGGAGGATGAGATCCATGGCAGGCTCTCTTGGAATGGGCAACCACTTACTTCATGGGCTTCCTCCTCCCAAAAGATGGCTCTGCAGCAGGGATAGGGGTGGTGGGCTCCAAAAGAGGTAATAGCAGTAGTAGTAAGAGTATTCTGGTAAAGGTGGTATGGGTATCAGGCACTGTTCCGTGATTCCTTTGATGCAAGCACTCTCAGTGTCCCATTTTGTAGAGGAGGAAGTCTAGGCAGAGGAAAAGGAGAATATCCCAGCCATTGGAAAGTCAGATTTTGCAGCCGCCTTGTATGGGTCAGGCAGTCTAAGTACTGTAAAAAACAACCTTAAATCTCAGCAGCTTAGCCTGATGAAGGTTTATGTCCCACTCACCACAGTCTTATCAGACATTCAGTGGTGGCCTTTCACAAGTGATTCGGGGATGCTGGTTTCTTCCCCCTGGTGATTCCACCATCCTCTGGACCTGAGAGTTCTTCCTGGACCACATCCAACTGATGGAGAATGAGGGGGCCTGGAACGTGGTCTTCTGTGTCACCAAGAGAATAACCAGCAGCTTGGTGAACACAACTTGCTGTTGAGAAGATCATAGAAGCCTGGTTAGGTGCGGACAAAAGAGAGAGAGAACAAAAGAAGGTTTTAGGTCCCCGACCACCTATCCAGGGTGGCATGCACTCTCCCTGCCTCACAGTGCCCCATGCCAAGCTCTGACAAGCACACACCTCTCCTGGGGTCGGGAAGATGCATTGTGATTTCTTGTGCTCTCAAGAGCAATCAGACTTTTGAGCCTTCTGGGCCAGGGTCTCCCTCGACAATGGAACGAAAGAAGCAACATCAGGTGAGGGGGAGAGGCACATGAAAGTTCGTTGACTCACCTGAACTTTGGCCTGAAATAAGCAAAAAGCTGATACACTGACACGGCCTTGACCTGCGCAAGGCATTGTTTCCCAGGAGCCTATTTCTGATGCGAGGCTGATCCTGGTCAGGCTGGATCTCACTCTGGTTCCCACCACACCTTATTTATTTATTAGGTCACAAAAATATCATGAAGTTAAGTCAAGCAAATCGGGGCTTAGCTGGCTATAGTTACAAGTACCCAGGAAGCACAGTGGTATCAAGACAGAGATGCCTGTGGAAGGTTGACAACCTCCCTCCCTGCCACTCAACTATGTCCTTTATCCTGAATTTTATTTTGGTTTATCAGACAGTCTTTGAAGACCCTCATTTTTAATTATGCATAGTAGGGAAAGTTCTTCTCAAACATCAAATTCTGGACATTGACATTCTTTCATCAGCCCAGAAACTAAAACTTATTATTACTTTAAAAATCTCTCAAAGATCTTGACTTTGCCAAATGTTACTGTTTCAGAAGACATTTAGAGAGTAATGCTACTATCCAAAGACATCTCTTCAACACAGCATCCTTAAATCAACACTTCTTTTGAACGTATGAGTCAATGTAACTTTTTCCTGACCAGTTGGTATCTCAGTGTCCTCTACCTGGTATCAAAACTCCAGGAAAAATACAGTTTATTTAAGAACCACCATCGTGTTCACTGAAAATATATAGTGCAAAAATTTTAAAGACAAAATACAGAAAGAATCATTCTGTCCCTTCTCTCCTTTTTCTCCTTTCCTCCCCTCTATCCTTCTAAGAACTTTCAACTAAGAATTGAGAAAGGAGGAAACTTCCCAAATAAAACAAAACAAAGTAAATTTATTAGACATAATAACTAACATCTGTGCAATTCTGTGTGAATATAATTATGTAGCATGAGAGAAGATAAACAGAGAGGACTAGCTAGAAACCAATGCATCTAGTAGGGCTGATCAACAAAGAAAACATGAGATTTTAGTGTGAGGAGTTAAAAAGACAATGGAAACTTGATGTGATAGGAATTGTATCAGGAACATGGCAATGTTTAAAATAAACTGATCTTATAGCTTAGGAAATAGAAATCGAAACTGGCATAATTCAGCTCACATAATTGTTATGAGCACCCACTAAAATGAGGTGTATTACCCACTGGAGTTGGAGAGATGAATGAGTGGTCCCTGCCCTTGAGGAGGGAGATGGACACATAACTTCCCTACAAGGTAGTAAATGTGATGACAAAGATGTGCCTGGTGAAGGAAGAATGCAGAAGGACTGGACCTCAACCATGTCTTGGGGACAGGGACAGGGTCTGGGTCATGTGAGGGGAAACCACTAACCTAAGGGTATAAGCAGAGTGAAGGGCGTTTGAATGTAGACAAGAAAAAAAATGATGAGTAGAAGGGATGTCATGGTGGGAGCATGTCAGTAGACCAAAGACCAGGGAGAAAGCGTGGAAGACTTTGGCCCCATTCAATTCAGAGACCAAGCAAGGGGCAAGGAATAGAAAACCTACTGCAGATTCTTCTAGAGGGCCTATCTAAAACGCAACTCACTCACCCTAGTGGTAATTTCATCTACCAAAATGTAAAGAAAGTAATGAGAGGTCCTACCCAAGAGCAAGTTCTCATCAACCAAAACAAACTGTCTGGCAGAGGAGAAGTAAGTGGAATCCAAAGCAAAATACTGCCTCTCTTTGGGGTTTTGAAACCAAGTAGGAGAATGTATTTGAAAAATCCTTTTAAAAAAAGTCAGAAAAATCTACATAGAATCCCATGGGCAAAGCCTTTGTGAAAAAAGAAGACAATTCAAGAGGGACTCAAGGTTCTAAAAAAGTGAGATTGTTTGCAGTGATACCACCACAGAAAATGCCTATGGGTTTTTGGATTATAAAACATTTCTTCATTAAAAACATTTTAGAAATTACAACATTTGTAAAAGCAAAATTAAAACCACTCACAATTCCATTAACCAAAAGTGATCCCTTTTCTGCAATAAACATACTTAAACTGGAATCAAATAGTATAAACAGTGTATTCTACTTTTTTCTACTTAACATAGCATAAGCATCTCCCCATTAATTTAGTTTCCTTTGAAAAAATGACTTCCCATGGCTGCAATAAGGGTCTGTTGCGTGGATGGTACTAACACTGGTGTAAGCATTCCCTTATTGCTGGAAATATAAGTCATTAATAATTTTTTGTTATTATAAATAACTCTATGATGAACACCTTAAGGTTTCACTTTGTTGTTAATATCCCTTTACCACAGCATGCGCACAGCCCCCTCCTCAACTACTATGTGGATATGGATTGCTGATTTTTCTGACATGGACTGCTAAGAAAATGTTCCTGTCTGGCGAAGGCAGTTATCTGTCTAAGGGAACTATTACAAAGCTTATTTTCAGCTATCCTTGACAATGGAGGAAAAATGAATTGAAAACCATTAGGCCCTCTGCTTGGCCTGAAAATGTATGAGAAGATCCAGAGATTTTCTAGACACAGTGGGTGGCCTCAAGGGGCCATTTTCATGATAAATAATTTTGTTCCCTTTTTTTTGTGCCAATCAGAAGTTTGGCCTATGAATCTTTTTGCCCTCTCTCTCCTCATCTGAGAGATTAGGCAATGTTCTAGTCTGTATAAAGAGAGATTATTTTTCTTTATACATGTCACACACTTGGAGGGGTGGAATACACAAGAGATGGGAATGCAGCTAGTTTTGTCCAGGCCCTGTAAGTTGATCACAACATTGCCAAGCTAAGGAGAAAAACATAAAGACTGCTGGGTGAGCAGCCAGAATTCAGAGAGACAGAGGAGTGGGACGGTGTGCTAAGGCAGAGGCAGCAGGTGGGGGTGGGTGCAGCAAGCAGGCAGCCAGTGGGTGGAGAGAACAGATGAGGGCAGACCACCAGGGACCTGAGCCGGAGGTCAGCAGCTTACAAGGGAAAAGACGGAGCAGGTCTCTTGTCCGCAGCTCAGCTGGTTGGAAGCAGTTCCTTAGAGGCAACGTACATCCCGAGACCTTCATGAGAACGAGCAGCAAATCCCTAAGGAAAAGGATCTACGGCAGCCTGAATACAACGTGCAATGAACTTGGATGACGTTAAAGGCTGGGGTCCCACACTGGTTGCAGAAGGTGAAGCAAGTGTCTCTACAGAGAGTGGGTACTGTCCATCCCACACATATTACAACTAGCTCAGATTCTTGGGAGCCTTGATGAGTTAAAAGCACTTGCAGCGGTCTTAGTACCAGCTCACCTTCCTCACCACTAGGACAGCGGGGTTCCGTGAGCAAAGGACAGACACCCTCTCACAACGACTCCATCTTGTGAGAAACTGCATTTTCCTGAGAACCAAACATGCTTCTCCAGACAACACAGGTCCCCCTACCCAGAAGCTCCCTCTCCGGGAGGAGAAGCTTGTAACATGCCTTGTCATTCAGCGAGTCACCAATGGCTCTTCGGCCCCTCGGTCTCTCCTGGTGTCAGTGAGGGCCACCACCGGGCAGAGAGCACCCCGTTTCAGGCCCCTGGTCTGGGGACGGGGAAGAGGAGGAAGGGGCGGGAGGCTCAGAGGCCCAAGTAGCTGCCTGCTTTTGGCAGGAGCTGCAGCTAATTTCCCTTGGCTGGCTCTGACTACCTGTCTGAAAGCGTTGCAATGCAGGAAGGAAATTTTTCAAGAGATTAAACTATTATTGTTTCCTGTGTGGCTGTCTTCGCTGGTGTATGAAAAAAAGCTTTAAGGGCACTTGAAAAGAGATTTGTCTGAATAGCAGGGTTGTTGTGATTCATCTCCCCCCTCCAGTCGGGATTTGGCCAATTTCCTCAGGAAAGTGGTTGATTAGGACCCATGGATTTATCCATGGCCTAAATATAAGATGTCATAAAGGTGATGAATGGTGAGCTCGCCATCTGAGGGAGTTAAGAGTTTATAAAAGCTATTTTTAACAGGTTGGAAGGGAAAAAAACTCATTTGTCACATCGCCAACATGTTTCAATAGTTAAAAACCTCTTTGTGGCCCCTGATAGTCATGCTACCAACTGCTAAAGGTCATTGTATTTTCTGATTTTACAAGTTTGTTTGAAAAATTGATTCAATGTGTTTTGCTGTTTATAGAAAGGCACATGAAGGAAGAGAAATACAGTGAATTTTCACACTGATTAGTGATTGCTGCTTCTGGTAACACGCACAATAAATTTGTTTCTTTTTTCCACCCTGCCTTGCTGTCTATGCCACTGCAGTACAAATAGCAATTGATGGAGGGTATTTCGGGACAGTTTCCAGGGCCCAAGCAAAAAGAGCCTGGGATTCCCAAATCAGAGGAAATTAGAGTTCTTTAGAAAATGGATGATGCCATTGACAGTCACTGTCAGCATCTCACATGGCTCACTGATGTCACATTGCCCAGAGAAGTTCCAAAAAATGTGACTTTATTGTCATGACAGTTCCACAAGGCGAGGTTCCTCCTGCGGTCCCAAACTAACCAACTTTGTTTAAAGGAACCTAGATGATTAGCCTCTTTTTAAAGCTGAATCTCCTGTAAAGTAGTAGTAAATTTTCTGAAACTGGCATTTAACCTTTGGCAGAATCATGCAGTAACACACCAAAAGATATTTACTGAAAATAAAAGGTTGTCCTTTTGTCTACATATCTGGGCACTTTACAGATGGTAGAAACATGAAGGCACAGGCACCTTCTCTAATGTGTAAAGGGTAGGTGGATTG